GTCGTCAGTTCGTAGTGGCTATTTGTGATGAGATATAGATCACTAGACGTGATTTTGGACGCTGATCTTGGATCTGCCTTTAAAATTTGCAAAGCGATTCTCTGAAAGGAGTTATTGAGCCGCGTTTACCACGCAACAGGTCACGGGATCGGATCCCTGCTGAGCTTAACTTTTTTGCTTGTTGCGCAAACGTAGCAAAAAAGTAGACTACAGTGCACTACAGTGCTTCTACAAGGAGTCCAAGCGCAGTAATAAATGGAGGCAAACTTTTCTTCAGACAAGCTCAGGTGAGAACTGAAGTAGTAGTGACGGCAAAATCACTTTTTGCCACGTTTGCGCAACAAGCAAAAAAGTTAAGCTCAGCAGGGATCCGATCCCATGACCTGTTGCGTGGTAAACGCGGCTCCATAACTCCGTTCAGAGAATCGCTTTGCAAATTTTGAAGGCAGATTCAAGATCAGCGTCCAAAACCACGTCTAGTGATCTACATCTCATCACAAATGGCCACTTCGACCTGACGACCTTCCCTAGTAAGCCCATGAATTTTGAAAACCCGCCAAACCGAGGACCCCAGGGTCCTTCGCGTACTACTTTGAGTAACCAAGAAAGCAGTTAACACCCATCGTGACGTCCCAAAGGGCTGGTTTTCCGCCATTTCAGCGACAATCTCCGGGAACCTGTACACGAGTGACTCAGCCGTGGAAATCACACAGCTGCCTCTGGTTTGTGGCAATTCTCTGAACTTTTTTGAATATCGATGACATGACACCAGCTTGTCGTGGCTGCATAGTAGTGAGGTAGAGTGCCTCCACTCATGCAGAAACATTTTTGGCACATTTCATGCCACTATTTTGTCAACCCGTGCGAAAGATTCTTTGCTGGTGCACTTCAAGAGCGAAATGTCGCTCTTTTACAAGCAATCAAATCATTCTTCTCTGAAAAACAAGTTCATAGAGGCCTTCTGCTTCATTGTGAACAAATAACCGAAATTCACATTCACAAGCAACCAAAGATAAACAAGTCTTTATCAGGAATACACCCAAATCGACATCAAACATATGAAAAAAAAATATCGGGGACACGCCAAATTGACTAAATTGTGATTGTCGGCGATTTTCGGCGCGGTCAAAATCAGTTTAGTATTAAACACATCCTCCAAACCATTTCATTGTTGTGGAAGAGTATTTGAACTTTTTTTTTACAACATTTACATTTCGCACCACGCGAACGTAAATGTATGGAGCCGACAGGTAGCAAAAATCAACACAAGTAGTAAGACATATTTGAAGAGGATGTGGAACGACGGCGAATAGTAAAACCTAATAGAACATTTCATGGAGGTGTCCCAAATCCACGGAAAGGGGTGTGTATGCAGAGAACAAGAACCACACGGTAGAAGAGGGGTCTGTGTTATAGGACGTCCACGAATTGACGACTGGGGCGCATCGCAGTCGGCTACTGCTGGGGTGGAGCAGGCGACACAATTGGCATCGGCTGTTGAGAACCACTGGCTCCTGGTTGCAGCATGGTGTTTTGAGATTGAGATGCCTTCTGTTTCAGCATTGTCCAATCGAATGTGTAGTCATACTGGAAAAAATAAATACTATTAATCAATTAAGAAAAGAACACGAACACCACCTGAAGCAAATGTTCGAGTCCCGATGGACTCGAAAGAGCGAAAATGGAAATTTCGAATATTCTCTGTTGTGTCGAAAATCATTTACTTCCTGACTGCTCTCAGCGATAGATGAAGGGCAAAAAAATGCGTTTTAAGGAAGCATGGTTTTGAGCGCAACGATGGCTGCTAGCATCATGACCGAGGAGAGGCAGAGCTGTATAAAGCAGAGTACAATTGCATATACAGCCGACGCCGGGCTCGCAACTTCGCGCATGGAAACGCCCCTTTTTCTCTCATAGAGGACGTAAAAAATCGTCATATTTCGCTGCTGCAATGCGCTTGAAAGATTCTAGCGTGACTGTACAACTATGCTCGTCAATAACGAACAAAACAAACTGTTCAGTAATATAGCATAGTATAGTAATATAGTATAGTATAGTAATAAGGCCGCCTTCTACCTCGCTGAAAATCGCAACTGCTACCGACGCTCCCTACCGCTAATCGCTGGACCGCTGCAGCGGCCGGAAGATATTATGTGCAAAACGGGGTTGAGTTAGCGGTTATAGCTGTCCAAGGACTAATGGATCGCAGTAGTGCAAACCGCGCGACAAATTGACAAGATTCCCAAAGTAGGAATGCCGACTAACGGTAAAATGACGTATCACGCGCTGCTCAGAAGTAAACTAGCACCGGAATGGACCAAGCGTTTTGGTACAAGAAGCTTAGCTCTCTTACGATAATGTTCCACAATGAATCTGCATCTTCATTCAACGAACATTTACAAAAATAAATTGATAGTCTGTGATGTGTGAAAGATGGAAAAGAGAATTTTAGGAAGAAAATGTTACCTGATGGTTGAGTGTACGGAAAAGAATTCTAAACAACTGGCGCAGATACATGTAGTCCGGAGCTTCGTCGAAGCGAAGCCCACGAGTATAGTTCAGATACATGGGGAATTCGGCAGGAAAACCCTTACAGAGCATCTCCACCGACGTTGACATTTTCTGAAAAAACAGATTTTTCATGTTAGTCTCCATAAAAATTCATCGACAAACCAGCTGCCTTCGCCATATAATACTTGGAAAGATTGTTCGCTTCGTTCACATTTCAAGCACATAGGAAGAGGGCATAACATGAATTTATTCTCCCCATGTAATCGAGTAGCAGTGCTACGTCATTTGGGGGGGTGGGGGCACGCGGCTCGCGAGGCGAGCGACTGGCTCAATCGACTCTTCGGTCATTGCTATACTTAGAGCGTAAATCTTAGCAGCAAAATTTAAAGACAGCGCTTCCGCGATGGAGCTTTGGCAGGTCTCAGGGAAAGTTCGTTTAGACAGGTGCAGCCATTTTAAGCCTCAGTAATTAAAAAAAAGTAGAAAAAGTTGTGGGAGAGCGGGAAACTCCCATAATTAAGGCTACGGCGGGCGTGCGACGAGCTTTCGCAGACCTTGGTGAGTTCTCAATACACGCGCGGGCCTCGCGAACACCCAGAATCTTTAGGGGCGTTTATCAATGACAGCAACGCATCTGACAACCTGTTAACAGTCGGCAGGGTTACAGGCAAGGAGGCCGTCAGCTCAGCCTTGTTGCATCTCCGCCCTCGTAACGAACCAATCGATTTCGAGCTCCGCAAGAGTGGGATTCTCCCGCTCGTGGCTGGCGTAACTTCCGCGTTCGTTGTCATTGGCAGGGTCTTTTCACTTATGGATCTGGCCCCACTCGCCGGATCCCGCCTGCCCTTTTAATTAAAACAAAGCCAGACCCGAATACCTGCTGAGAACTCCCACAGAAGCTGAGAACAACAATCTTTTGTAGTCAAGAGAATAACGGTCAACATCAAAAAGGCAACAATCGCTGGTAGTTTAGGCAAAATCTTCCATCCTACAACTGTTTCTTCGCACTTTTCAGCGTTAACTGCTTAAGCTTTCCTAGGACGCCCGTTGTATCCTTAATGCTCTAATCTAACACACGTAACTATCCTACTTTTTGTGCTCCCGCAGGCACGGAAGCAGAAGAGTCCGACGGAGTCACTCACTAGCCGCGAGGACCGTCGTGCCCCCCAACTACGTTAGCCACCGAATTATACCTGCAACGTAAGTTAGGCGTGCGCTCATAGCGTTGCGCTCAGCGTTGTTGGCGTCTCGCCGGGGGGCCGTACTGCAAAGCAGAGATTAAGAAAGCCTCAGGTCATGATGAAGCTTCACAGTCGGCCGGCCGGTTATCAGCGGAACTGCGCCGCGAAACTTCAAAACTAACCCCGCCGAAATGCTCCAAATACGCCGACACGCCAATGGCGATAGTTACGACAATGTCTCCCAAGCAATTACTCGAACGGGATCTGACTCAATTTCATGTACAAGCGAGGCAAATAAATTCTGTAGGTTAACTGTTATAAGCAGAACAACATACCTTCTCACTAATTTTCTCATACTTCTGCTTTTTGGTCGCCGCTTTCAGACCTTGCCAAGGAAGAGTTCCACGATTGAAATACATTAATACATAACCCAGGGATTCCATATCATCTCTGAACATACCCTTGAAAAAAACGGTTTAAAAGATGAAAGAATCGAAGTAAATGAGACCTTCTGCTCTGCTCAATTCCAAGAATGAAGTCATTATAGAATGCATATCGCGCTTGTACCCGTTGAGATTTTATCCTCTGCGGGGTAAAGGAATGGTGTTCTGGTGCGCGAGATCCTCGAAACCTGACACACAGCTTAATGAGATGATAGCACGCAGCAGATCCTTCACACGGTTTGCGGTAGGCGGAATGTAGGTGAGAGAAGAACTGACGAACTAAAACAGGCATGTAGCACCACTCACGCAACCACAACCGATGGTGACTGCATTATGTGAAATTATCTTGTCTTTCAAGAACTACTGAACATTTTTCAGAGCAGTCGAAGCTTTTGGCTTAGTTGATGGCTCCGAAGGAGTCCATGTGCAAAACTGGGATTACCGCGAAAGAGAAGATGGCTTGCCTACATAGAGGAAAGGAGTTCCTAAATAGATGTCATTTCAAGTCAAGTTGTAATCCTACCATTATTGCAGTAATCCCAGTTTTGCATTGGGAAGCTTCTCTCAAGGTGGCAACCAATGCGCATGATGCTTTGGAGGTAACAAAAATCAGGCAATGCGAAATATAGCGTTGCTCATAACAAACCGTACAACAAGTTATGACGATCTCACTTTTTCGCAAGTCCGAAATCGATTAGGAACAATTTGTTGCAATGTCGTCCAATTCCCATAAGGAAGTTGTCGGGCTTGATATCACGGTGTATGAAATTTTTCACGTGCACGTATTCAATACGACCGATCATCTGATCAGCGAGCATCAACACAGTCTAAAATAATGAAGTTACGCAAATGCGTGAGGAGTTGCTTATAGAAATTAGCAACGAGGGGAACAAGTGACAGTAAAAGAAACAGTGCCCCTAAAGAAAGTGCAGCGACCGTACAAAAAAAAGAGGAAAAGTATTTCGAGAAAAGATGCGCTCGATGTATGGGTTCAGGTCAGAAGCACCAGCCACAAACAAAATGGTCCCGCGCGATAAATTAGGTAGAAAGGCACACGAGAAAATCGGTTGGTGAATAAACGTAACGGCGTCACACGTTCATGTGTGGGAGAGGGCATCGAAATCAGCAGAAGTTGAGGCGGATGAGCTCACCGCGACGTGGTGCAACCGCAATTGACAAAGAAGAGCGAATAATTCCTCGAAGTGTTGCCTTAGTAGCCTTAGCATACCAAACCACGGACGATCCCCAGCTTATTGAGAAGCGCACAAACTAGTCAGAGCGATGAAGATAAAAGCTCGAATAAGAGTTGAGCTGGCGCGTAAGAAACTGACAGAGACATTACGACCGGGTGTCGGGGAACACTGGTGGATAAAGAGATTTCCCAAGGAAACCCTCACAGGCGACCCAAGAATCACGTAACAGAGTGTGTCGCATCGGTCATTCAAGAAATTGATCAAATAAAGAATACCGATGAAAGAAGTGAGAAATTTCAGCAGGGACCTCACTGCACTAAGGAATCTTTGACCATTAAGGAAGGCTAGGAAGGCCCCACTGCCTGTCGGCTACTGGTATTTTAGAACTTCCCCATGGACATGTCTGTCTTCACGAGATAAGCAACTCTATTCTTGCAAATGAACATAGGCAACTACATTTTCACCCATAATGTACTGAATTTAATACTTAGCCGGAGCCAAAAATTCAGTAACTAAAGTAAAGGCACTAATCGATCATTTTCTAATGGTCGAATGCAGAAACAATAATTACCTTCATGGTAAATCTTCGCGAACAGAAATTGAAAAGGTCTTCCAGTGAAGGTCCCAATAAATCCATAACCAACACATTGTACTCGCGTTCAGTACCGTACCTGCAAAAATTGTTGATCATAAATGGTACCGCACTTTAAAATGTTTGGAAACGAAAAGTATGACGATACACTAGACTGCTGCTTCGAAGTTTTAACAATATCTTACACACATTTTTTACACATTAAAACAGTTATACTCCGATTAAAACTGAAATTGTTTGAATCTAAAATTTAATAAGAAATTAAATGTCTGTAAAACTCCTTCTTCTTTAGTAAAATATGCTGAAATTATCTACTTGAATATCAGTAACGATAGAGGCATGTCCTATTGTCTGCTTGCAGTAAGAAAAGAGAAAATATAAAGATGGCATCTGTTCGGCGCATACTGCGTTGTCACGAGTACTTCCTTTCTTGTTATCCGCATCGTACAAGACTGTATTTACTCGCTTATATCTATTCGATTAATCATACCTTATTGTAATGCAATCTGCACTTTTTAAGTATTCTGATAATACCTTTTCCCTCTTTTATTTCGCTGTTAACCTTATTGATTTGTTGCTGTGATATGCGATGGCTAGCTGTTCTGGAATTATTAGAAGATTACATGAAATAATTTTGTAGGAGCAGCAATGCAATTATGTTAAATATGCTATATATCGGTTGATATTCATATGCGTGCTCGTGATATTCGTCAATATAGGTTTTAATATTCTTATTTTTTGTCTCACTCAACATCGTGGACGCTTCGTCGTGTTCATCAAACGAGCATCCTTGTATTAATATTTGTGTTTGGCAGCGTCACGTTGAATGATATGAACTTGTAGGCAGAGAGAGATGTAGGAGATATTAAGAGAGAAAGAGAGAAAGAGAAAAGGAAAGAAAAGAAAAGAAAAGAAAAGAAAAGAAAAGAAAAGAAAAGAAAAGAAAAGAAAAGAAAAGAAAAGAAAAGAAAAGAAAAGAAAAGAAAAGAAAGAAAGAAAGAAGAGAAAGAAGAGAAAGAAAGAAAGAGAGAAAGCACTAGATATCTTACTGTTCGGACAAATGAATAAAGCGCTACGATGACGAAGTTGTTGAGAGTCATTCGATCTACTACGGGTGAACCACTGTTAACTTGCTCACACGCCACAATATCCCTTAGGGTACGTTCATACTTCAGCGTTTTGATCGACGCTAGCATTTGAAACTTTTCGCAGTTAGTTTTGAGTTTTTGGCGGGTAGTCCTTGAAAACGCTGGCGTGCGCTCAAATTGCTATAGATCGATACAATTCGTTCAAGTGCTGCCTACGGGCACACGCAGATGTGCTAGATCGATAGCTATATATTTCTAGTCCCTCACGCTCAAAACGCCGGCGCAAAGTGTGAACGCCGCCTCAGTTTCTAAACAGAACGTGTTTGCACAACTACATCATTTTTTTGCCAAGCGGTTGCTCGTGCATGCAACTCGAGAAAGTTTAAAAGCTTGAAACTGGACTGGTATAAGCATCATAAGAGGCAGGTTTTGCCCCTGTGTAGCCCGCAACAATTCACTGGCAAGCTTTTTCAGAATGCTGCTCAGAGAAGCGTAATTTCTGTGCCATGTTTTTAGGTGCTAAGAAGTCTGGTAAAGATCTACTACGGGATGATAACAGAAAATTGACCGAGTGTGGCACAGAATGTTTTTACTCGCAAGCTGGTGCTCATGTGCGAAACGGTCAATGATTAGACCATTTCTATGGAAGGGCACATTCAACTATCACTACACCAATTTTCCGACTTTTTTTCTACGGAGGCAGATTAGGCTGAAATATTGTTTACAACGATCGTTTTATCTCCTGAACACGATTATCACATCTGCTTGAGGAGAAGTCAGCACCCGCGCCACAAGTGCTGATACCAATTCACCCTTAACTACCAAATTCGCTGAAAACATTTCTCATGCTTACACAGATTTCGGTGAAAGAGTTGGTGGCGCCGCGCCAGAAACTAACTAATGCGACGCACGTAATCGGGACACCAGCCAAAGTTGTGAACAAATTGCGTTCTGCGTAGACGGCTTATGCGACTGTCACAGTGTAAAAAATCTGGCCAATCGAGTAGCAAGGCATTGTTCACAGTCCTTGACGACAACGGGCGTTTCTTTGAAGAAAACACTTAGGCTAAAAGCTTCGGATTATGTACTATCGCCAGTGGCGGTTGGGCGAAGAGTCGGCCGGCGCCAAAACCGGTTTAGATACGTATCGCACGGGCGATCCGGCGAAGCGTCCGTTTGCGCAGACGAAAAGGCTTTACGCCCCAGCGATATGGCGCGTTTTTATCTGGGGCGGAGAAAGCAAAATCGATGGCATCTACTGCTTTTCGCCGAACAGCGGGGCGTTTCTCCAGGGCGGTTGGCCATTCTCCGATCAATACGTTTTGCCGAACCGCTGTTTCGTCAGGGTCGCAGACTGTGAACAATGCCTAATTGTTTTAGTACGTCACAAATCCTTCACTGCAGCCTTTTCTCATCTGGGGAGCCAACGCCTAATGCAATGTTCACAGTCTGCGGAATCGGCCAAAGAAAAGCTTCCAAGAAAAGGTTTTAATACGTAGCCTACATACTTGTTAGCTAGCTTCGCTGTTGACGGTTGGGCGGTGCTCAGGCGGGATGTGTTGCCGCGGTGCCAAACTCCAGCAGTTGTTAAAGCGAGCAAGTGATAAGACTGCTATCATATCGTTCCTATTACTCGTTTTCTACTAAAGTTTTTTCGGCCATGCCACTCTTAACAAAAAAGGCGCGTAGCACGGCTTCCGAGGGCGGCGCTGACCAAACTTACAATTGCCCTTGACCAAGCCCAACGTACAGGTAAACTAGATATATTGCAAGAAATGCCTGAGTGTGGGCAAAAGTCGGACCCACGGGCGCGGACCGAACCCGCATCTTGAAGAAGATTGCGGCGTTCGAGAGCATTTATCAAACAAAAACAGTTCTACATTGCCTGACAAGCCCAACCGTAGTAAACTAGAGTATATTGCTTTTCGCCGTATCTCCAATTCCTCAGGGTCGTGGACTGTGAAAAACACCTAAGCTTTGCTTTTTTCCAAGTGTGGGTATTAGCAGTTTGATCTCACTTTCGCCTTATCATGCTTCTGAACTGAACTACAACAGTTTCGAAAAAGCGCCTACAAATCTACGCTGTCATTTCTGTTGCCAATACGGCACTGTGCAGCGGTGACGTTACGTGAGTTAATTTCACGATTAAAAGAGTGTAGGTTCATACGAATGAAAGTCCCAAATATTTCACTTCTTCTTTCATCTTGAAACGGGAACAAATTTTAATGAAGTAGAGAAATTACTGCAAAACTCTCAAAATACATCCTTATGCGGTTGAAAACTAATAAACGACATCAATCGTTCTAGCATTTAGTTATGAACGAGCCGAGGCATAGAAACTTACCAACGGATATGAGGTATTCCAACACCGCCTTGAAGAATGCGATAGACTTTTGACTCGTACAGGAGCTGGGGGTGACGAGCCTCAAATTCAACTTTTTAGTTATATCATAAGACTAGTGATTCAAACAAGATAAATGAAGCTTACCCTGTTGCTCTCAAGTTTGATGGCTACCTCCTCTCCATTTGTGACATTGATCGATACATAGATATCGCCAAAAGAGCCAGACCCGATCTTCCGAATGAGCTTGTACTTGGTTGCAACTATGAAATCCTTGTTTGTGATTACGTTCGCCATCACGTTGTGCCTTCGCTTGAGGGCACTTTCTGTAAAATATCATTCTGACGCTACGTTATCAACAAATACAAAGACTAGCCTTGAGGCAAACAGTGAAACTCAACCGCAAATTTAGAGCAAGCTTGAAAATGGTGGGAAATAATCAATAGAAAGTGCACTTTTACGCACTTACACATCATTAATAACAAATTTACAGACAAAGCACCATACCTGCCGGTGCAAGGATACCAACTCCAAGCGAAAGTGACTTGCACTCTGAATGGAATAAGTGCTCAGTCACCGAACGCCCCTGAAACAACGTTGGTTAGTCAACTCGCGATTACGCAACATTTTCATAAGAGGCTGTGGAGGGATCAAAAACAGAATGAACAGTAATAGATGTATGAAGGCAATCATTCGATGGTAAAAGCAATGGAAGAGTCGAAAGAGCTTTCGTTTCACAATGTGTGCCTGATATCGATCGAGGAAGAATCGCTGGCAGGGCGCCAAATCAATGGACCTCCAGTTCTTGGATGATGACTTGACGTGAGATGTGGAATCGGATGACCGCCTGGGGCTGTGTGGGAATGAGGAGCCGAAACATGAGCAGGTGAGGCCACAGATGGCGATCAACGCAGGTGCGAGCGGACGCGACGCGGAAAGATCCGACCGCGGTGGCGCGCGAAAATCAAACCGCCGCGCACGGCTCGTCCCAGCAGAGCAGCTCTGTCGCCGGGGGCTTTCGGTGGGGAGGGGGGGGGGTTGGGGTAATTACTGCGAAGACCCTTTTATCCCTTGCAAACGACAGGCGGGGAGTCTCCTATTTTCGCGCCCACTGTTCGGTTACCGAGCTCATGGCACAATTCTCAGGGGAAAATGCTCCGGTGATCTCTCAGTTGCGTCACAACTACATTATTTCGAAAGCATAGGGTGAGTCAAACATCTCGGCGTGTGATATCGCTCCTTATCGAATCAATAATAGTCCACAATCTTCCCTGCTTTCCTCCCTTCAAATGCTCGTCCACAAGTACGATGGGAAAATACCTCTGAACCCTGTAATCGTTCGAAAACTGGGCTGGAAGAAGAGCATAAAAGCAGAGTTTTCTCGTTTTCTTTTCATTTTTCTTCTCCAGCAGCTTAGTTACCGGATAGGCTACCATTTTTTGCTCGTTTGATGTTGCGTGAATAAATAAAAAAAACTGCTGTACATAGTTTGATTGAATCCTTTTACTTACAAACCCTTTTACCTGCAGTTTGAAATACTGCACTGCCTTTGAACCAAAAGAACGACACCTCTGGATTTTGGTATGATTCGGATGGTTTCATTCGGAAGGAAAAATGTCTACCAGAGCACGTTGGGGAAAATTTTGGCAAAAAAGCGACCCCTCCCTAACAAATCCTCTCCTACGACCCCCTTCATTCTAGCTACGAAAGGAGAATTTGACGCAGTTGAAACAGGAAAACCCGAGAAAAGTCAACCACCAAAAAATTCCTCAGTCTACTCCTGGCTGGAAAATCCTAGCGTACGTCGTGACCTAAAAACCCATTGAACTCTTTAGGCAGATTAAGCAGTGTTACTCATTAAACGAAAATCCAGTTTTGAACACTTAGTTAAGATTCGCTGGATTTTGAACAACAAGTATGTATGGCTACCTGAGTTCCACTGCTTCAAATTCAGTTCAATGACAGAATGATCACTTCCTACCTGTTTTTTCATCCGAAATGTTATCAGTGAGATATTTGGAAATGCGGAGATTTTTTTTGGTATTTCAAAAACTCGAGAAAGAACAATAAAAATAACTATTCGAAGTCTTATCATCTGATTATGCTGGGGAAAAACCAGAAGAATGACTAATATAGGATGCAACAGGTTGAATTTCATTCTATAAGTGGAACCTTTTTTATTACACTATGTAGTTCCTGACCAATAAAACAATGACAGTGACTAAAAATCCACACTTCAGCACGTGCAAAAAAACTATCACGAGCATCTTTTGCGGCGTTATCTCAATGGCAAAAAATTGGGTTGTTCGCTCTTTTAAGCCCTGACAGGGCACATCGTTGTTGGGGAATACCCAATAGGGGGGTCGTATTTGGCCGCCAGGAGGGGGTCGTATTTGGGCTGGGGAAATTTATTTTGATAGTTGATTTTTCTCGCTTCATTAAACTTGTAAAGGGGGGGGGGTCATATTTACGTTTTGGCGTTGTAGGAGTGGTGGTTGACTTCTGGTGATTTTCCTGTTTCATGCGTACTATATCCCCCCGCCCCCGCCCCGCCCGGCCCTACCCCTCGACGGTTCGATTCGATGAGGAAGAACAAAAGAGGGCTGGGGGTTCGTACCAACGCCCAAAAAAACGAGGAGGGAGTCGTACTGACTAAGAACCCCAACCAATGATGTGCCCTGATCCCTGATGAAATGATAACCTGATGAGCCAACACTCGCTCCATCCACGGTGCAATAAAGATCGGAATAAAGACTGCATAGTTGCTTTTCGAGCGACAATGTCAAGCTTTTGAAGAGACTAGAAGTAGTCGGACGGTCTCCGTTATACTTTCTTCCTCATTTACATTAGGAGAAAAAGACACAAAACATTGATATCGGCATCTTCTGTGAACCACAGAACATAGCGCTTGGTATTCCAGTGGACACCGTTTGGTATCCCAATGGACCTTTGTCAGCCACTTATCGTCAAACTTCTTGAGCAGGTTGCAATAAGAGCGTGTTCATACTTTGCGGCAACGTTTTGAGCCACTAGGAAAGTACAGGTATCGAGCCAGCGTTTTGAGCGTCTTTCAGTTTTGGAAGTATAGGTAGGCAAAGCTGCAAAGCGCAAATATCAATCGCGTAAATCGCGGAGGACGCTCAAAACGCTGGATTGAAACCCATACTTTCCTAGTTGCCTGAAACGCTGACAGACGCTCAAAAACTGCCACAACGTAAGAACGTACACTACCGTCGCCATTCCACTACTATGACCCAGAACGACCCGGTTGGTTCTTCTAGCTCGAGGAACACGCATCTTCAGTTTTCATGCGGAACTCTTACTCTTTCATGCGGAACTCTGATCATAGAATAATCGGTCAGCCGGGATCGTAAACGACTACTTCTAGTCTCTTCAAAAGCTTGACATTGTCGCTCGAAAAGCAACTATGCAGTCTTTATTCCAACTTTATTGCATGGCAAGACATTTCCAGGAATTTACGGCGTTTCCCAACCGGAAGTAAAGTATGTGAGTACCAAAGGAGATTGTCCTTTATCTCCACCCTAAAGAGCAATTGTTTATTCGATAAATCATGCATATGATCACATACAATTAAGAGATACAAGAGCAGCTGCTACAGGGGAACATCCCCACTTATTTTTACACGAAGTAAATATTTGACAAGAACTAAGACCGAACAGTTGAACAGGACCGACAAGAACGTGCAAAAATATCAATTTATCAACAAACAGTAAATAAAATACTCTATAAACACATGAAGAACTCACTAGCAAGCGTTTAGCAGAAAAAATTTTGGATGTAAACTGATTGTGCAAGATCCAGTGATATCGTCAAATGAAAAGATTCAAGTCTATACTACGATTTGACAGAAATTTCTACAACAACACGAGTGAAAGCCTAATATACCTTGACTGAAAATGCACTACAACAATGGCAACAACAAAACCAACATACTTTCGAACGAAAGGCACATCTTAAAACTGATCCACAACATATAAAATTAGTATAAGCTAAAATTAACTTACCTAATGATCACAGACATTTCATTGGATTATGATAATAGCTAGGAGTGCTCGCTTACTTAACGATTTGGTCGCTCCGATCGCGCACAGCTAGTGGTAAAGCTCGCATAGTTAGACCAGCTAGTCTAACTATACCAAATCGCAAAGTATGAATGTAACGAAACAGATTTGCAAAATGAAGCTAATTACAGAGATCACACTTATCCTTAGGCTATTTTCTATTAGGTTGGCAACAAAGTCCTGACCTATTTTTTTGGATTAAGCTTCCTTTTTGCAGGGAAGCTACAGGATCAAGCATACTGTTCTGCAGGATCCTTGCCAGCACACGGGCTCCTTATGGATGTCATCGCTACACAACGCAGGTTGGCGCAACGCAGATTTGACTGGATTTTGACATGGGTTCGGATCGGGAAGCATTTGTTGACTATGCGAGGAGTTGGCTTGGGAAGCAACCACTATTCTGAAGAAGCAATGCTCTTGTGATGTCAGTGTTGAGGGAGAGATATCCAGCCAAACTGTATGAGCTTCTGATTGACCTTTCCGCAAGATCCAATCATGTTCAGGTCAGACTAGTAGAAGGAAGAAGCCTGGGGGGTGCGCGACGGTGCTGGACGACAACTGCAAAAAAAGGAAGAAGGTTAGAACAAGTGAGTGGTCCAAGAGAAGTCATGCGTTTTATTGTTCGCATAATCAGTCACGCCTCTTCAGACTAAACGTAAGTAGGCAGTGTTCAAGTGAAAGCAAAACTGAAGTACTAGAAATATGACGAAACTTTCCCGCCAACCTAATACAACTCTTTTTCGAAAGTAGCAATTCAAACCATCAGTCACACTCCATTTCCATGCACTCGTCGTCCTGTTCAACCAGCTCTTCAATTTGTGACTTATTCGGTTGAGGAGAATCGAACTGGGCAGACATGGTATCAGCCTCGGATTCGCTATCTCCACCCTCCACAATGAACTCGGAAGTAGGACCTATAAAATGAGGTACATGGCACAAACTGTACAAAACGCCATCTTTACAGCTCCACCGGCTGAGTCTGAAATCAAAAGCAGTTGGAAAAGACAGAAACTACAAACCTTCACATGTGCTATCTGTGCTATCCACTTCTTGGATGCGTCCTTTCATAGTCGGATCATCGAATGGATCTCGATTTTCGGGTAAAGGCCGCCAAACCATGAGCTCATTACCACGAATGACGCCTCTGAAAATGCTTAAATGAGTGTTAAAACAGTCCAGATTCAGAGAATCAGAAGCAGAAGCTGATTCATATCAGGGCTCTAATGTCCGAAACTTCACTTTGACCTAGATATTCTGCAAAACTGAAGAAACAATCTGTTAGAAGGTACTACTCCTGGAAAAGCCCACTGATTACATTCAAAGTTCTTAATTAGTTGCTGTTGCCTCTATTTAGGGAAATACTCGGAGCTAAAATTCCAAATCGATGGTGGAAACGACTAAGCAACAAATAACACCACACACATTAGTCCACACATTAGTTAAAAGACGACGGAATTTTGGAAGCGACACAGAAAAGAACTCAGAACTACATGTTGATCTTTCACATGCTATAATCCTCGACTTGTTCTCTCCTTTTAGCTATATGGTATCAAAGCTGGAGGTGGCGGTGGTGAAAAGCGGCGTGGCGCACCATGCTTACGGGAGGTAAATCTCGGACCTCCTCCTAGACCAGCCGAGCTTTTACCTCTCCACGGCTGACGAAATGGCCACGGGTGACGGGAAGAATCGAAGTAATTCAGGAGTTACCTGAAACCCTGCCTTCTAAATTGGCTTGCCCCCCCCCCTACGTCGTTGGGCTAACCGACTTTGAATGGAAGTTGAGACTGGCGTTCCGAAAAAGGAATGGTCAACCCCAATAATCCTCACTTTAACTCCAACCACTTCAATAATCCTGAATTTTGAGTTCGGAACTTTTCGTTGATCATAAATGATGGTCTAGGAAAGGTGATTACTACAGTGAGAAACTCTTAGCTTGAAATTCTTTGGAGAGGGGGTTAGAGTTGTTCCAGTTACTGCTAAAAAGCTAGGAAAAGGAATGAGCACTGAAAACTTTATCCTATCCCGGCTATGCACACTTTTTCTATGGCCTAAATTCGTAAAAATTCGCTACGATACAGCTTAAATGAAAAACAATGAGTTAGACCATAAGTTATTTACCTCGTTGGTATACTAATCCCATTCGTTTGCTTCATGAGGTCTAAGTAGCGTTGTAGACAGTCATTGAGAAGCAACTGATTCGGTTCATCGGTTGGCTCCTCCACTATCACTTGCGCTGGTTTATCATCAGTAAACTCATCATTAGCAAACCATTCATCATCAGCAAGATCATCGTCATCAGCGTCCGAGTCAGATGTATCCCTGAAATACATGGTTTGCCAAGCTTCAATAACAATCCGTCACGCTTCCTCAAAGAAAAAAAATCCAGCTTATCGTATCCACAACTCGCAAAACTTCTTCTACGTTTTCCACAAAGAATCACAGTGACTATTCTAGCTTGCTACGCTCCTCTCAACTCAGTACTTATGGTTAGTGGCGTAACTCACATCTCAGGCTGCTTATTGCCTTCGTCATCACCCGAGATGCTGAACCTCTCGAATTTCGCATTGATCTTTTCGAATCTCCTTTTGGCACGTGGGGCTTCATCGTCATCCTGGAAATTCATTCACTAAACGCATGAGAAGCTGATAGTGTGGAATTTACACTTAAATGTCCCACAATCCCTCCGGGAGCATAAGAACAACTACACAACTGCTCTCACAGAAAGTTCGGGAAACGACAGCAGTACTCCTTATGACCGAATTCATACTTTGCGAGAAAACCCGCGATTCGAAAGAATCGGACAAACGAGAGTATGCGCATCGATCCAGTAAATCCACAGATTGGATTAGTCGGCGTCAATTCACATTCATATAATACTTTGCGACACTGGAGGATAGGAGAAAGGAAAATTCTGGAGAATACAGAATGCGCGTCAAGGGAAAAGCACGTATTGATCGGGCGAATCGGGAGAGTAGAAGAAGAGGAAAAGGTGCGAATAGGAGAATACGAAAGGAGTAAAATGGGAGTCGATCGTATCCTAACCTATGATTCTCCTATACTCCCACGTAGCCAAATCGATACCTATACTTCAATTGGCGCGCGTTCTTTCAAAGCATCGATTTGCCGATTGTCTTATTAACAAAAAACGATCGTGGCCTTCAAAGCATGGATTAGTATTCTCGAATCGCGGATTCTCCAGATTGATAAATATACCTTTTCTCGTAGCCGATTCCCGGGAATGAAAGATTCTTCCAAAACGCGGCTTCTCCAAATTCACAAATTGTGAGTATTCTCAAGTTGAATAGTCGGATGAAGATGTGATGAAAGGATCTGTGCAGAATACGACCTCCTTGCCACAGTTTTCCCCTCCTGTACGACCTCTTTCCATAGCTGACCGATAATTTTACCAAACTTCCCCAGAAACGTGAAATCGACCCAGGGGAGGACACCTGCGATCAACTATCAGATCAAAACGATGGGTAAAGGGGAGGGGGCATAGTGCGCGTGAAACAGGGACAGTAAGCTAACAGAAAAATCTTGCCAGACTGGTTACGACTCCCTCATTTCCAGTGGCGAAATATGACCCCGTTGGGGATGAAAACGTGTGACTTGCTGTGAATAAAATTATTATTTTCTAGATCCTATACCCACTTCTATCTATGACTGAGGGAAACAAAAAACATGACTGTTTATTGCGTGGAGTTTTTTTCTCCTCCCGGACGGAAATTATGGTCAACATGGTAGAAGGAATGCTTTTTGAATCGCTTCTGTAGGGAATAAACCCAAACTGATAGGAAGCAACCTTGAAAAAACTAGTGGTCTCAAAAGAAGAGGCAGGTCGAGGCCATCGCAATGTATTGCGTGCTGCGCAGTGAGAGTGTTGCTGGTGAGCGTCATCGCTTGCAGAAAATTCAGTAGCGAATGTTATCGATACTTGATGAATAACCCACTCCATTGTCAAAGTAAAAATAATCATGTGCCGTCTTTAGAAGAAAAGAACAGGGTACCTTTCAATACCGAAGAATCTTGCGAAATACCGCCAATCACCTACCGAGAGAAACTTACTGAACAGCCCCCCCCATCCAATTAGGGCTTCAGCCAAAGGGAAAATATCCAAGTAACATATGACTGAAATCTCAACTGACCATATCGCAAGCCCGCTTCCCTTCTCGTAGGGTAGATGAGTGAGACGCCAGCTTGTGTGAATCAGGTAGTCCACTTCCGAAGGTAGAATGGCCAATAAGTGTCATACCAGAGCTATGACTAAGGCTGAAAAGAATGAATGTCAAGCGTCTTTTTAGTCGTTACAGCAATAATTAATCGAATTCGACTCTGAGGCACTATACGATAGAAAACTGAAAAGTAAAAGAAGGTAGTTCTAGCGAGAAAACAGTGGCTCAATAATAAATGGCTTTCACATATCTTACCAGCCTATAGCAGCACTGAACCAAACCTCAAATCCCTCCATACATCGCCCTTGTAAAATCACAAAGCGCGCATACTGTAACAAAGGGGTCTTCAGTTTTCAGTGTTTTCATGTGTACTAAACATTACACTACACTCTATAGAACTTATGCGACT